TTGTTCCTGCACTATCGTAAATGCTTGGTAGTTAGGGTGGGCTTTTAACGATTTCGGTATCCTTGAGTGTTTGTTTGTTTTGTTGTTTGTTTTTTTTTTTTAAAACTTTCGTGGTTATTAAAATTGACTTCGTGGTTGTAGACTTCATAGCCTTGTCGAGATTATACTCGGGTTACAACTTTGTTGTTGTTTAAAATCGACTTTGCAGCCGTGGACTTTATCGGGATTCGACTTGTTACAATTTTCGTAGTTGTTTGGATCGACTTTGTAGTCGTAGGCTTCGTAGCCTTGCCGAGATTTCACTCGAGGCATACAACTTCGTAGTTGTTTAGATCGACTTTGTAGTCGTAGGCTTCGTAGCCTTGCCGAGATTTCACTCGAGGCATACAACTTCGTAGTTGTTTGGATCGACTTTGTAGTCGTAGGCTTCGTAGCCTTACCGAGGCATACAACTTCGTAGTTGTTTGGATCGAATTTGTAGTCGTGGGCTTCGTAGCCTTGCCGAGATTCTACTCGAGGCATACAACTTTGTAGTTGTTTAAATCGACTTTGTAGTCATAGGCTTCGTAGCCTTGCCGAGATTCCACTCGAGGCATACAACTTTGTAGTTGCTTAAATTGACTTTGTAGTTATATCTTATCCTATTGTAGTTCTTAAGAAAGTTTAAGTATGTGGGTAACCGCGGTAAAAATGTAAAAGAGAAAAGACAATTCAAACATCAAACTTGAAATTCATTTCACTACTGAATTTAATTTGAGCGTTTTTTCAGTACAAAAAGAGGCTTTAGACTCAGCCTTAGGCGTAAAAGCGCTTAAGATGGACCACATGCCAAGATCGGGGCAATCGACGGCCTTCCTCGTCTTCTAGCTCGTATGCTCCTCTCTCGAGAACTTTTGTGACTGTGTAAGGCCCCTCCCAGTTGGCTTCGAGCTTTCCGACATGCTTTAAGGCATCGACCCGCTTGAGGACGAGGTCTCCCACTTGGAATCGCCTGGCTCGGACTTTCTTGTCGAATGCTACGCGCATCTTTTGCTTGTATGCAACCGACCGTAGCCAGGCCTCATCTCGTTCCTCTTCAATTAAATCGAGAGCTTCTTTGGCCATTTCCTCGTTCTTTCCTTGCTCAAAGTATGTCGACCTGTGCGAACTTTGTGCAATTTCCACTAGCAAGAGGGCATCCATTTCATATACCATACTGAATGGTGATTGGCCTGTCGAGCTTCTCGGCGTAGTCCGGTATGCCCATAAGACAGTGGTTAGGTCGTCGATCCAGGCTCCCGATGCCTTCTCCAATCGCTTCTTTAGCCCCTGCAAGATGGTTCTATTCGTAACCTCGACTTGTCCGTTGGCTTGGGGGTGAGCGACCGAGGCGAACCTTTGTTTGATCCCCATATCAAGGCACCATGCCTTAATTCGTTTGCCCTGAAACTGAGTTCCATTGTCTGAGATTAATGTCTTCGGGATTCCGAATCGACAACAGATATTGTTAAATAGGAACTGGATCATTTTTTCCTCGGTAATTTTTGCCAGCGGTTCTGCCTCGACCCATTTGCTAAAGTAGTCGACTGCCACTACCAGAAATTTTCTTTGTCTGGTCCCCATTGGCAAAGGCCCCACCAAGTCGATTCCCACTTGAGAAAAGGGGATCGGGCAGTTGATTACGTCATGGTCTCAGCGGGGATATGAGGAATCGGGCCATGACGCTGGCATCTTTCGCATCCTTGCACTAACTGCTCGGCCATTCTTCTGATTTTCGGCCAATAATAGACATCCCGCAGAACTTTTCCAGCTAAAGCCCGAGACCCGACGTGGGCCCCGCAACATCCTTCGTGGACTTTCCGCAAGACATAATTTCCCTCGTCTTCAGAAATGCATCTTAAATGGGGCTCGACATACGACCTCTTATATAGCACCCCTTCGATTTCAAAATATTTACTCAAGTATCGGGCAGCTTTTTTGGCTTCCTGCTTATCCCCAGTAGGTATTTTTCTTTGCAGAAGCTAGCGAATCGACATCCTCCAATCGCCCTTCTCCTCGACCTCCATGGCTTCACCCAGGACACTCTTTTCCAGGTTCATGGTCGTAATGTGGTTCCCCATCTTTTCCTCATTTGAGCTGGCTATCTTGGCGAGCCAGTCGGCTCGTTTGTTCTCCTCCCGGGGGACTTGGGTCAGCTCGAATTTTTCCAAGCCTTGCACCAGGCTTTGAACTTCCTCGACATACTTCTTCATTCTGTCTTCTTTTACCTCACAGTTCCCTATTACTTGGCCCACGACAAGCTGTGAATCGGAATGGGCTGCAATTTCTGTTGCTCCGCCACCAATTGCCAGCTGGATTCCTTTAATCAATGCCTCGTATTCTGCTTCGTTATTTGAGGCTTTGAAACCCATTCTGATGGCGAAGTCGAGTTGTTCGCCTTCGGGAGATACTAGGACAACCCCTAGACCCGACCCTTTGGCTGCTGAGGATCCGTCGACATGCATTATCCATCTCTTCTCTTCTCCCTTAGTTCCTTCTTGGATAAAATCGGCCAAGGCTTGGGCTTTTATGGCTCGCCTCGATTCATACTTAATGGAGTACTCACTTAGTTCGACCGCCCATTTTACGAGTCGACCCGAAACAGTAGGTCGCCCCAAGGTCTCTCCGAGCTGGAAATTCGTTCTTACTATTATTACATGGTTCAAAAAATATGGCCTCAGTTTCCTAGCCATTATGACTAACGTCAGGGCAGCTTTTTCGACTTCAGAATACCTCGTTTCTGCGCCCTGAAGTACTCGACTCGTGTAATAAATCGACTGTTGGGCTCCGGCTACCTCTCGCAACAAAACTGAGCTTAAGGAAAAGAGCCCCACTGAAATGTAAAGCACCAGTTCGTCACCTGGTTCTGGTTTCGTTAATAGTGGTAATTCGCTCAGAAATTCTTTCAGCTTTTCGAACGCCACTTGTGCCTCGTCACTCCATTGAAAAGCTTTCTTTTTAAGCAACTTGAAAAACGGGAAACTTTTTTTCTGCCGCTCGAGCAATGAATCTGCTCAGGCTAGCAATTCGATCTGTCAAGACTTGTACTTCTCTGATATTTCTAGGTGCGACCATGTCGAGTATAGCCTTCACCTTATCCTTCTTTACTTCGATGCCTCTTTCAGTCACGACATATCCCGAGAATCGCCCCGCCTTTACTCCGAAAGCACACTTATTCGGGTTTAGCTTCATCCCAAATGTTCTGAATGTCTTAAATATTTCCCTTAAATCTTCCATGTATGAGATCGAGGACCTACTCTTCACCAGGATATCGTCCACGTATACCTCTATATTTCATCCGATCTGTGATTTAAACATCCGATCCATTAACCTTTGGTACGTTGCCGCCGCATTTTTAAGCCCAAAAGGCATGACGACATAACAATATGTCCCCTTGCTTGTCACGAAACTAACTTTGCTTTGATCCTCGTGGGCCAGCGGAATTTGATGATATCCCTGGGACGCGTCCATCATACTTAGCAATTGGCAGCCAGCCGTGGAGTCGACCAGCTGGTCGATTCTTGACAAGGGGTAATGATCTTTTGGACATGCTAAGTTCAAATCGCGAAAATCAATGCACATACGCCACTTATTCAGCGCTTTTCTCACCATCACTGTGTTTGATATCCATTCAGGGAATTGAATTTCTTTGATATGTTTGGCTTTCAGTAACTTATCTACCTCGACCTCGATTGCATTATCAATTTCCGCCCCATGATGCCTAAGTCGTTGCTTCACGGGCTTTTTTAGGGGGTCGACATTAAGTTTGTGCTCCATGACCTCGGGATCGATTCCTGTTAATTCTTCAGGGGAAAAGGAAAATATGTCTCTGAATTCTCTCAACAATCCCACCAACTGTCTACGCAATTCATCCTCCAACTCTCTCCCGACTTTGGTGGTCTGCTCCTCTCTTTCCCAAATTTGTATCTCCATCAACTCTCCGTGCGGCTCAAGGTCGCTTTCCCTCTGTCTCCTTTCACTCGACATTGGCTTTTTTCCTTCCTTTACTTCCGCTCGTTGGTTTGTTTTTACTGCTATCTGGTAACAGGTTCTTGATAACCTCTGGTCTCCTCGGGCCTCCCCTACTCTATCTCCAACGGGGAACTTTAGCTTCATATGGTAGGTCGACACTACTGCTTGGAACGCGTTGAGAGCTGGCTTTCCCAGAATCACATTATAAACTGACTCGACGTCGACTACAACGAATCGCACCATCTTTACTTTCCTTAAGTCACCTTCCCCAAGGACGACAGCGAGCGTGGCTTCTCCTAGGGGTGCGACTTCTGAGCCATTAAACCCAAAAAGTGAGGTGTGTAGGGGCGTAAGCTTGATATCGAGTTCCATCCGTTTGAGACAATTGTAAAAGATCACATTCACCGAACTCCCTGTGTCGACAAAGATCCTCTGCACTTCATATCATGATATTTGAGCGGTGATCATTAGAGCATCATTATGAGGCCTCTCGACCTCTCCCACATCTGCCGGCCCGAAATTCACCACCGGACCGTTTTCCTCAACCTGCTGTACTTCAACTTTTTCGTGGCGGCCTCGAGCATACGCCTTTCTTGCCCGATTTGAATCTCCATCAGTCGGCCCTCTGAATATCATATGAATTATTCCTCTTTTCTGAGGGAGTTCCTCCTTGTCGGGTGTCCTCGTTCTCTTGCGAGGGCTCTTGCTTCTCTCCCTCCGCCGATTGGTTCGCTCTCAATCTTTATAAATGAACTCTTTCTGATGGCCTGCTTTGATTAGTCTCTCGATCTCATTTTTCAGGTGCCGACATTCATCGGTGTTATGCCCGTAATCTTTGTGGAATCGACAATACAGATCGCTTTTGGGCTTCGTTGGTCCATCATTTCTCGTCCGTGGCTACCTGACGACACTTTCGCGAATCTCTTTCTCCATTACCTCTAATATCCTTGCATTTGAGGCCAACATGGGGGTATATTGAGTTGTCCTCCATCCCCTTGATCGCCCCTCACTTTCTGGCTTCGGGGATCCCTTCCTTACTACCGCCGGGAAGTGTTTTTTATCCTTCTTCTCGTCACGGCATTCAGTTTTTGCTTTAGCTACTTGCAGAAAGTCGTCTTCTGCTTCCTCTACATTCATGTAATTGGCGCACCTTCCTAAGACCTCATCGAACGTCCTCCCGGGTCGTTTGGCTAAGGAGTTTCTGCACAGTCCCGGGAGGAGTCCTCTGGTGAGTCCTCCTGACTTGATTTCTTCAGTGGCCGAGGGGACATCGACGCACGCCCGCGTGTATCTCGCCACGTAATCCCTCAATGATTCTCCTTCCTTCTGTTGCATGCCTATCAAAGTAAGGTAAGATTTCTCTTGGGCCTTCACACTTGCAAATTGGTTTAGGAAACTCGAGTTAAATCCATCAAAGTCCCTGACGGCTCCCGGGGGTAACTGATGAAACCAGTCTTGCGCAGGTCCTCGCAGAGTCGTCAAGAAAGCTCGACATTGAACAGGGTCATTGTAGCGGTGCAATACTGCCATGTCTTCAAAACTCCTCAGATGTCGAGAGGGGTCAGTCGACCCATCGTACCAGATGTTAAGCTCTCTGAACCCCTGAGGCAAGTCAGCATCTAGAATATGTTGCGAAAAGGGGTGTCCTCTCGAGCTCCCCGTTTTTCTCTCTTCAACTCGAGCCTGCAGGTCTCGCACCTGAGCTAGCAACTGCTCGAGAGTGTCGTTCCTTGCTTGTGGATTGACAGTTCTGACAGAAGACTCTTCTTCGTCCGCCCTTCTATTCTGTCTTTCGTGGGATTGGGCTTGCAGCTCATGCTCCGGGGGAGGCTGTTCGATTTGAGGTTGCTCGACCCTTGGTCGGTCGATTCTGGGTTGTTCGACTTGCGTCTGTTTGAGTTGGGCCGCTACTGCCTCTGCTATCATCCTCTGTATCTCGCTTCTCGTCATGGTCAGTGTTTGCTCTTCGACTTGGGGTGGCGGCCTTGTTTCCTGCTCAAGTTGCCCAGGCTGCCTCCCCAATCTCAAAGACGTTTCGGTCGATGCATGACCGTCCATTTCTCCGCTCGTGCCTTTCACGTGACTGGCCTCCCCTTGAGTGAGCACCGGGATCTTGACTCCAGGCGGGGTGATAGGTGTCTCTTCTCCCATACGCGCCCCCGACGGCGCGTTTGCTCCGAACGGTGGAAAACCCAACACTTGGAGCGGTGGCCTGGGGTTGGGAATCGGCGGAGGCCGCTTGTCAGTCCATGTTGCCCTGAAATCTTTATTCAAATTCTTCTGTAACCCTTCCTTCTCAGCCATTAGAGACAGATCAAAGCTAGGTGTAAAGCTTTTAATTCCTTAAAGAACTCCCCACAGACGGCGCCAAAATGATGGGTCTCCATTCAGATCTGGAGTGGACCGATGGAAAATCACCCAGATCTGGAATGAACCGATGGGAATGAGCTCAGATCTGACTCGATAACCTTCGAACCGTCGTTGAATCGCGAGAAAACCTACAAGAACTCAACACTGGAGGGGTTTCTGGCGTAGAGCCTCCGACGCTCAAGTCAGTATGTGAGAGAGAGAGAGAAAAGGAGAGCTGCTCTGGGAGAGCAACAGCAATAATGGAGGAGAGTATGAATGAATGGGAGTTAGGGTTTTGGGGTTACCTTAGCTCCTTTATATAGAAGTAAAACATTTACCTGAAGTCCCCAAAATGCCCTGGCCGACTTACGGAAAATGTCCAGAATACCCTGATCGGTTCGCATTCCGTCCATCTCCTAGTCAGCATTTAGATTCCTTCTTATCCTTGACAACTTTCCAATGGTATGTTGAAGTGTACTGGAGTCGCCGAGATCTACGAACCTCGAGACTTCTTTAGTCGGCTGGGGATACCAACTCGAGTCGACTGGGTCATCTTCAATCGTCAGTAGACCCTGACGCGCTTGACCGTCTTCCCGGAGGGGATCTACTTTTGCTAATCGACATGTGGAAGTCGACTGAGAGAAATGCCTGGACCCTTAACCGGGGATACCATAAAGAATCTACGGACAGAGTCGATTTCGCGTAAGTCGACTCGGTAATCTCTGAACCGCGATGGTATTGAGCCGTTATACGACAGTGTGGCTATATCAAAATGATTGTCTCTAGGACACATATACCAACAAAATGAACAGTGCTGCGCCACTTGTAGCGCAACACTGTAGCAATTGCGCTAGAGTTTTTATTTTATTTTATATTTTTTTGTGTAATTTTTAATGTAATATTAATGTAAATTTTTATATAATGTGTATTAAGAAATGTATTTTTATGCTAAATAACTTTGTGTAATGTATTTTTTATGTTAAATAATTTTGTAGTTTTTATTTATTGATGTATTATAATTTTATTTTAAATTTTTTTATTATTAAAATAGTACCATAAGAATAAAAAATTAACACATTCAAACATACTATATAAAACTATTTAGGTAATAAACAGTTGATATAAAATTAAATATACGTATATATATCAATTCATTTTAAATAAAAATAAATAAAACAAATTTTTTATTATTTGGTAATAAACATTTATATAAGATTAAATATACATATATATACCAATTTATTTGAAAGAAAATGAATAAAAAATAATATATTTGATGTAGAATAAAATATAGAGATAAGAGCTGGAGACGAATGTTTCACTCTACTCTAGAGTAGAGTAAAGTCTGCGTTAGAGTAGAGGTAAGGGCTGGAGATGGTCTAACGCAGAGATTGTGCTACAGTCCGACGCTAGATTTTGACGCTATTATACAGATATGAACAGTTCGACGCTAGTTCTAGCGCACAACTGTAGCAATGCGCCATAATTTTTTTTTTCATGTAATTGTTGCAATGCGCTAGATTTTTTTTAATGGAATATTAATGATAAATTTTTGTATAATGTGTGTTAATAAATGCATTTTTATGCTAAATAAATTTGTGCAATGTAATTTTTTATGCTAAATAATTTTGTGCTTTTTTTATTGATGTATTATAATTTTATTTTGAAATTTTTTAATATTAAAATGGTACCATATAAATGAAAATTTAACACATTTAAACAGGTAGATTTTATTAAATTAAAAATTTACAACAAAAGTAAATCATAAAATACACAAATAAAAACAACATAATATTAAAATCAAAAGTTTTCGACAAACATAAGTCACAAGATAAGATTAAATATACCAACTTATTTAAAATAAAAATAAATAAGATATTTTTATTATTCGGGTGATAGAAATTATATAAGATAAAATATTCAGATATATACCAATCTATTCAAAATAAAAAAAATAAAATATATTTTTATTATTTAGGTAATAAATATTTTATATAAAATTAAATATGTATATATATATACCAAGTCATTTGAAATAAGAATCAATAAATATATTTTTATTATTTGCGTAATAAACATTTATATAAGATTACATGCACACACACAGACACAGACACACACACACACACACACACATACACACACACATGTATATATATATACACTAATTTATTTGAAATAAAAATGTATAAAAATCAATATATTTGGTGTAGTGTAAATGTAGAGATAAGAGCTGGAGACAAATGTTTCACCCTATTCTAGAGTAAAGTAAAGTCCGCTAGAGTAGAGATAGGGGAGTTTGAGGTGAATTTTCTACTAATCAATTCCTCAGTGCAAAAATATGCTTGTGGCTCTGAAATAATGTAACTACAAGAAACTGAGGCTCAGTTCATGCATATTCCGCAGTTTAATCTCTAAGTCTCTAAGGAGTCGAAGACTTATGGTTCAAATTAGTCATGCACGAGCTTAGAATTGGTGTGAGAATGTGGGAAAAATAAATGATATATTAATCACGCAAAAGTATGTACATGTATATAAAGACATAATATGGGTCTCACTTATGTTGGGCCTTTATCTAATCTACTTGAAAGAGACGGATGTAGAGGTGACAACACATCGCCAGTCACAATCCGCCACAATTTTTTTCCAACTGAAAAACTCTTCATAAACTGTGCTCAAAGATTATAATTATCCCCTGATAATTAAGAAAACACCAATAGGAAAATGCACATCAATACGATCCATATTCAAAAATAAGATCAATGCAATATCACGAACCAGATGAAAATATAGGCACGGATCGGATCACGAAACCGTCATAATATCAATACAGGCAGAAATTGAAAACGTCACGAAAACTAAAACCGACTACACCAGGACGTAGCCGACGATGAGAGGAGTCGACGACTGATAAACGGCGGCGATCGTAGAGGGAGGTGAAGCTCACGCACCGGCTGAAGCTGCCGACGCTGTCTCAACGTTTCGGTGCGTGTGGGCCCCACGCGCCGATTTATGGCCTGAAAATTCCGACAAACGGTCGCCGAAGGATGCCAGAGAGGATGGTGTGGGAGATGAGACTCGACGACGGCCGGAAACGAGCGATAAAATATTAAGCCTATATTGGATTCTAAACCTAATTTGATCATACCATATGAGAATGTGGGAAAAATTAAAAATATATGATATATTAATCACAAAAATATGTACATGTATAATGTGTACATGTATATAAAGACAAAATATGAGCTTTACTTATGTTGGGTCTTAATCTAATCTAAGCCCACAATACATAATATTATACAACTAACAATTGGGAATTAAAATAAACAAATCTCACTTATTATATGGTAGGAAGGTTGAGCCGTACATTATTAAAATCAGTTTGGTCAAGTTCTAGACCTATCATTTTCGGGCCTACAAATTCCACCATCTTGCATTTTTCTTTAGAAAATTTTCTACAGAAAAAGATTACGCATAATTAACTAGGAAATTTGACACTAATTAAAGAAAGTTGTAAAACACCCTGATGAGATCGTGCCAATGTTTGGTTGGCCTAAAGCCAGATTAAAGAATTGAGGCTTTTTAGACTCTAATAGGATTGATCGACTCTGAAAAAAACATATGTAACTAATAAAAAATTGTTATATGTATACTATGATAATAGAATAATTGGCTTGGTTTAGTTAGTGACGTTAAACTTTATGTATATTATATAAAATGACTCAAATTTTGGCAGGGTTAGTGAGTGCGTTCAGAGTCAACATAATTTATTAATTAGTTAATAATTTTAGCATTCATAAGAACTATACGAATTAATATGTTTTTCATACTCTCACAGATTTATTGTTTTTCATAACCTGAGGCTTGGTAAATTTAATTTCGAATTAATCGGTATTACACTAATATAATTATGGATCATATAACAAATAGAATTATGCTTTTTATATGTAGGTACATATTTAGGTAAAAATTCAAATTTGGTCATCTAAATTGGTTATTGTCCAGTTTTGGTACATCAACTTTCGTCTCATAAAAAATAGTCCACTATGTTGCAATTTCGTCAATTTTAGTACAGTAATCCCGAGGGACCGGATTAGGTGATGACGTGGACAAGGATTGAAACGACGTGGATGGATAAGACGTTGATATGGAAAGATGTATCACGTAATTCGGCTCCTCGGGATTACTGTACTAAAATTGACAAAATTATAACATAGTTGATTATTTTTTATGAGGAGGAAGTTGGTGTACCAAAATTGGACAATAGCCAACTTAGAGGACCAAAATTAGTTTTTTACGCATATATTTAATTCCCGTATTACCTCTACTTCTTTACATTGTAATCTCTTTCTTATATAAAAATGCAGATGTTTTTAAACTTGTGATTTATTATTTGCTTATATTTTTTAACTACAGTGTACGGTGTAGTTATGAAAAGTGACGAGCAACGTTGTATTCCACAAATATTTAGGTTACATAGATCAAGTACTAGGACTAGGACGTTCTGAAATTATTTAGACAAAGATGTGTGAAGAATAGAACTGTCTAATAAGCAAATAAAATTTGAAAACTAATTAAGCTAAAAAAATTGAAAAATTAAAAGAACGTGAAATAATCTCGAAAATACGGGAAAAAAAAGATCATGTGACATGTGTTCCTTG